GCATTTTCACCAGCAGAACCTACCTCCTACGTACCACACCTTCATTTGCACTTCTTGGCAACTCTTGTGCAGCAGCACGCAGTTCCCTGTGTTGGCCTGGTATACCAGATGGGACGCCTTGGCTTGTGCTTAAGACTAGAAGGCAGGTTTTGTAACACTTTGCTGCACATTTTCATGTGCTGGTAACAGGAGCACGTGATCCCTAATTCCTGAGGTACAGCATCACTCCTACTCCCATGCCAAGCCTTTTCTGAACAGGCTCGGCCAGCTTTGCAACTGCATCAGTCATTTCTCTCTGATACCTATAGGCAGGGACTAGAATAATATTGTCAAACTGCCTTTCAGGTCTTGTGACTAAAGGAGAATCTGCAAATGTGAAAGGCTACTATCATAATATCTTCTATTGCCACAGTATCATATAATGCTAGTTCCTGGGTGCTGGGTTTAACATCCTAGTACCACAACATTTCTATGGACTTTCAGGGCAGTTTTGAGTAAGGTCATTAAAATGGTCTCAGGAGCTAATGACTTTCGATATTTTATTCTTTTATGTTTAGTTTTTAATTATTCCTCATTTAATTCTCTCTGAAAATGAGTGCTCTTTTCCAGCAAAGAATGAAAGAACATGGGTTATACATGGTTTTTATATTCTTATTATAATTTTCTTAAGAAATTGCTGGATGAATGAATCACAGGGACCACATTTTGACCAACAAATTACTCAGTCTACGCAACCAACTACTAGATTGGTCCATGTGTTGCTCATGGAGGTTGTGTAATTCCCATCCCTGAAAGTCTTTGGTTACAGAGCAAACAAACACTGTGAGCGTCCTGGTTTTGGCTGGGATTGAGTTCATTCTTCTTGGTAGCCAGAATAGTGCTGTCCTTTGGATTCAGTATGGGATTTAGTATGGGAAGAATGTTGATAACACCCTGACATTTTCATCAAGGACTCTCCAACTCCCCTGTCCTGCCCACGCGCAGGTGCACAAGAAGCTGGGAGGGAGCACGGCCAGAGCACCAGACCCAAATTGGCCAATGAAATATTCCATATCATGGAACACCACGCTCACTATACAGAGGAGGGGCGGCTGGGAGGGAGGGGGGGCTCTCTCGCTTCCGGGATTGCGATTGCGGGATCTTGGGGTTTCGGGATTGCTGGCTGCATATCAGTTGGTGAGTGGTGAGCAATTACATTGTGCATTACCCGTCTGTACTTTCTTTTATTGTTTTTTTTTTTTTTTTCCAATTTATTAACATTATTAAACTGTTTTTATCTCAACCTACAAGTTTCCCTTCACCCCTCCAATTCCCTCCCCCATCCCCCAGGCGGGGGAGGGTGAGTGGGGGGCTGCGTGGTGTTTGGCTGCCGGCTGGATTTAGGCCATGACAGTGAGGAATAACATACACAGGATTTAGGACAGAGCAATAATCTATGTCAATGTTTCTCAGCCTTTTTTAGCTCGAGGGCAAGCCAAATTTTAAGCAAAGGAAGATATATCTTATTTGGTTTTGTCATAATTGTTTTCTTGTAAAACTAAACATGTGGGCTGAAACGGGATCATTTGGGCTTTAGGTTTTTTACTGTCATTTTTATTCATTTGTTTGTTTATACTAGGCTGTATATTTTGCTAACATTATGGGGTTTTAAATCATTCAATAAATGTGCCATCTAGGATCTGATGAGCCAGTGGTGAAAAGCTGTTGCGAAGCATTCAGCTGGGTAACTTCTACCTGTCCTTTCTATCCATTTGCTTTAGGACTGTTTGATACGTAGGCGTTTGCAAGTGGGTGTTCCCTGGCACCCAACTTGCACCATTCACTCCAGAGCAGTAAGAGGGAGGGTGTGGGAACTGCCCCTGCATTCCTCTGGTCCTTTTACACACACTGCTAAGCTACCAGGGCAAACGGAAACGTTTACTACTGCTGCCTGCAGTCCATTCATCCAAATTTCATTCTTGCCCTGGTCTTTCTTGTAGTAGCTGTGTGTAATGTTTGCAAAAGCGGCAAATTTTGGGGCAAGGGATTTGATTATAATAAATTCTCATTTACTTCTACCCTGTTTTATTTCTGATGAAAGGTCCTGACTGACAAAACAAAGTGTAATCTGTTTAAAGACCAGCCTAGATAGATACTGCTTTACAGCTAATATTTTATGAGGCTTTTGTGAACTCTGAGTCGGTATGAATGTCAGCATGGGAAATATATTTAATCTTTCTGCACAGCTGTTTTTATCAACCGTCTCTTCAACCATTAATAAACAGCTGATAAAGCTCTCTGGGGAACTTGCCATGATGCATACTGAAATTGGTTTGTCCAACCTGTCCCTTCTGTTGCCTAGTGGAAGATTAATGCTTTAAATTGGTCAGAGAGTTTGAGAAGACGCGGGCAAATTCGAGAGTGGTTACACAGGTTGTAAGAGGTCTGACCTTAGCCCACCACCTCATGTGAAATGAGAAGACAACTCATTTCACTGGAAGCAAGACCACTCAGCTTCTCCAGACGGAAACACTGACTCACACCCTGGGGGGCTGCAGGTGAAGTGAGGGAAAAGCACTTCTCACCCGTCTGCAAGCTCTGAAGAGAGGCTCTAAATGGAGTAACTTGGTAAATGCTATTCTGGACTAATGCTTTAAAAAGACTGGACTGAAAACCTCTCAGTAAAATTGATAAGGGCATTTCCATTATTTTTAGTACAAGCAGAATTTCATGCTGAAGAGGGAGGAATGTAATTTCAGAGTGACCTCCCTGATAGTAGAGACCATATGCCCATGATTTACGTAGAAAGTTACGTTTCTACTGCCTGGGATTTTCTGTTTTTCATTTCAGTCAAAATTACTCATGTTTGTTGACAATACTTATTCATGACACTTCCCTCTATAGGATAGTTTGGTTTGCTTTGTTTCCCTGGCAGAAGTGACTCAATGGGACAATTGCACTATTGGATGAATTATATTTAGGGTAAAATGTCTGAATTGTCCTTTGGCTGGAAGAGCGTGTGAGCGTGGCTGATTGTTGTTCATTGTGGCCATTTTAGAACTTGAAAGGTACTGAGGGAGTGCTTCAGTTCTGAAAATACATATGGTTTTGAGTGAAAAAAAGAATGGTATTGTAAGTGAGCTTTTGTGTTTTGTGACCTTGAAAGCGATATCACAAGAGTGACAAATGTTTTCCTGTGAATTTATGGCCATGTTCATAAATGGCATCCTATAGTATCCCAGTGTAAACCCTCAGAAGCCTGACATGACTTTATTGGAAGTGCTCTGGATTTATATCAGAGAAAATTCACTGAAAAGTGTCCTTTGATACCTCCAATTTGAACTTTCCTGCTATTTTATAATTCCATATGGTAGTTTTACTAAGGGGCGTTAATGTTGGCTGTAGAAGCTAAAGCCTTTTTTTTTGCAGCCAAGATGTAACGTGCAGTCCTCTTGTAAAATGTCTGTTTTGCCTTCTAGTGGCCCTACAGCTTTTGGTACAGAGGATCACAGCTGAATCTAAGAATGGAGGTAAGGCTTGCTTTTCGCAGAAAATGCATGTGGTAATCACTCCTCTTACAACTGTACTTCATCTGTGCTACCTGTATGCACGTGCTCATTGCTGCACAAAATACATGAGGTAATTTTGCAGTGGAGAGCAAGTGGCTGAAAGATGGAAGCAAGCACATCCTGTAATTTAATACTAGAGATTTGGAATGATTTGTTTTAAATGCTTAATAACAGATGCAGATCGCAACTTTTTATTAGATCCTTAGAGCACCGCAGGTTTGTTTAATATCACAGCTAGTCCGTGTAACCATTTTGTGGTTACTGACAGGTTGTTTACTGGGAAGTTGTGGAGGCAACCACAAGAATGAGAGTCCAGGTAGCAGGTCTGGGGGGACAAACATGTCTATTCTGTCTATGTCCTACACCATATGTAGGAAATGCTCAAATAGCTCAGTTATCAAACCTTTAATAGTTAAAAGTTAGAATCTAGGCCAGTGGGCAGAAAATCATTTTATATATGGCTATTCTATCATCCATATGCAATGAATCAGTGATGACAAAATCCACTTTGTAGAAGACCAATGTTCGCTTCTTCATAGTGGCCATGACGAGACTGACTGGGTACTGAGACTTAAAGAACCTCTTACCCTTGGGTGAGATTTTGCCTGTATTTCCAGCTGCCTGAGCTTCATGTCTTGTGAGAAGAGAACTCCTTGCAAATGCATCACGTAAATTAGGCACAAATACTCTACCAGAGACACAAAAATGTATATAAAGACTGCTTTCCTTTTCACCAAGAGTGCTTGTTTCTAACCCCACAACCTTCTCCTATCTCACACAGTACATTTATTTTATTTCTATTAATAGGCACTCTGTGCACCCATTTAATCAAGGGGATGAAATAACCCAGTACTGTTGAATCAAATTCTGATATAGTAATGATAAATGCAGTTGTTTCCTATATGCAGGCTTCCCAGGTGGTTAATCGACAGTTTAGGACAACGTTATTTTCTTGCACTGTTAATAATTTTTTGTTAAGTGTGTCGTAATACATTTCTTTACAGAATCCAACATTGTATTGACAGCAGGGAGTACAGTGCACTTTTTGTAAAGTCAGTGTGAAGATTGTTATTTAAAGCAGCATCACAGACTTACGAAGAAGATGGGGACTTAGTTCCCATGAGGTGGTAAGGGAAAATGCATTGAGTCAACAGAGCAGGAAGTTAGCTTCCTGCGCTCTGGAATGGAGAAATATGAGAAGCAAAAGGGAGCAGTAGTAAATCACGGGATAAGGGCATGACGTTATTTCATGGGATGCTCTGGAAAAACACATGGAAGAATAGTATTAAGTCTTATAAATGCACTGTAAGCATCTGTAGGGTGATTGAGTGACCTGTGTGCTGAAAATGGGCTTTAAATAGGAAAACGGGGGGGGGAGGGAAGAGAGGGGTGAGATGCCCTGTTAACTCCAGTAGTGACACCACTAACTCCACTAAAAACCCTATCTTGAAATTATATCCTGAGAGCATGAAATGTAACTCTGTTCTCCCACTCAAAAATCATAGCAGCTCAAGAGCATTCAATAAGTGGATTGTTCTGTGTCCAGGAAGCCCTTGAGGTGACTCTTGCAAGGAAAACCCTGAAATGGAGGCATGGGGGAAATGGAATCTTCCTGTTTCATCACTGTTTTAAAGCCAGCAGAGCACCACTGGCATCAGCTTTCTGCACCAGATGGGGAAGTGGGTATCTTCTCTTACAAGGTAAGTTGCTTTTCGAGAGCAGCAGCAGCCTGAAGCTGCTTGGAGCAACTTGAGATAGGCTGGAAGTGCGCTGTATGGGATGCCTTAAGTTGGGCCCTATGGCATATACACCCAGCTAGCTTCGGCAACAAGCGCTCAAGAGCGCTGTTTGAAAACCACTCCTTCAACTGAATGCATGTAATGCCAACAAAAAATATTAAAGGATGGAGCAAGTTTTCATGCATTTCAAAAGGCAATGCCACAGAGGCATAACAGCGCAGTATCCTAATCCCCAGCGTGCACGTTCCCACTGCAGAGATATGGGGAAAAGCCCCTGTGTTTGATACTAGCAGTGAAAGATGTCATCCTGCTGATGTCCGTATCTGTCCTAGTTTTGCAATGTTACTTCTCAAATTTTCTCCATAATCCATAGAGCTAGCGAGCATTTCCCAATTACATGCTGTGCTGAATAACCTAAATACAGTATTTGTATGGTAATTTTCTTCTCTGACTGACAAATTGTGTACTGTTTCTCTATCATGAAAACTCAACCAAGTCTGGAAACAGCATTTGTGTATATTTGGTGGATCATATTTATCATAACGGGGAGAAAGCCAAGAGAAGGCCTTCTCCATAGAAATGCAAGGTTACAGTGGGAACGCGGAGTCTTCGCTCAGTGATAAATGGCACTGAAGCTGTGCTTGCTCTGCTTGTTTAGTCTCTGGAGGTATCTCTATGCAGTAAAATTTTTACTAACATGTCCTTTGCTTTCCTCTTTAATCTGCTCAACATTTTGAGTACCAGATTTGACAAACCCCAAATACATTGTATCATTTATTCCCAGGATTCCTTTTACTAGTATCTCTAAGCCTGAAATGTTATATTTGCATGTGAACACAGTAGTAACAAATCATTCAAAGCAACTGATACTTTTATAGCTATACCAGATCAAGGTCTGTTTTCAGTTACCCATAAGAATTCAGCAGTAATTTAGCTACATATATATATATAGCTTTTTGATTTTTAGAGTGATTTATAAAGCAATTTGACAGATGGATGAAAGCTAAGAAGTGGAGCTCATTACTATAGGATGCTGTGGGCACCAGCAGTTTATATGGGGTCTTAGAGGAATTAGACAAATTCATGCATGAAAAAATTCATCTGGACTGTTACTCCTAAAGACACCGCTTCTGGTGCAGGAAACCCTTGACCTGCAGGTTGCTGGAAGCTGATGAAAGTACCTTGGGGAAGCAACACTATGTGCCTGCTCTGCTCTTAGTTGAATATTTGTGCATCTGCTAGAAGCCTTCTCAGGAAGCAGCTCTCAATGGACACGTACTCTGACCAGGTACGGCTGCTCTTATGAATTGTGTAAGGCAAATGGTGGGACCTACAAAGAAAACTCCCAGAACTGTAACTTGTGATACAAGAACGTGACAACACTCCTCCTGTTTAGCAGAAATGGGTGAGGACAGTCACCTTGTATCAGGGTCCTGAGGGGACCCCCCACCCCTTCTAGGGGTTTGGCTGCCTGGGCTCAGGACCAGTCTAGTGCCCTGTGGTGCAGCTGGTGGTCTTTGGGAGAGCTGGGAGGACTCAGTGAGGTCCCTCCCCACCTCCTGTTCACCCAGGATCTGTTTTTAAGCTCAGGCTCTGGCTCTTTGGGTCCCAACCAATGTACATTGCTGCCACATCACGGCCATGCCCATGCTTGGCTGCGGACCCAGCACACACTGACCCTGACCCATGAACTAGCTTCCCAGCCTGATCCCAGACCTGCCTCATCACCCATGGACTTGCCTGATGACCTGGGCTCCAGGCTGGGCCTGGCTGCCCCCTTCTAGCCTGCCCTGCTCCCTCCATGAGGGCAGCAGGATGGACCCTGGCTGGTGAGGCCATGCCCTACTGTCCCGCAGATCCCCCGTGGCTCACAGCCACCTATGTCTTAGCTTTATATCTCACTCCTTTGCTGTGCCACACCAAGATCTGTAGCCCACTCTGGAATCTGATATGCCATGAGCAGGTCAGTGACCCAATCTGCGGTCCACTGAGCATGGAGTAGGTGATGAAAGGTTGGTGTTTTGTGCACCTATGTCTTTTGTGTACCTTTAGCTGTAGGGCACAGGCACACACCCCAGCTGTCACCCCCCCCCATAACATTGCCTGCTTGCCTCTCTGCTATGTGAATCTAGCACATGTGGTCCCACACACTGGGAGGAAAAGTGATAGGTCTGACATTATGCTTGATCATGCAGCACCATGGACCTTAGAATTCAGTTACATCTTCACAGAGATTCTCTTACAAGGATTTATAATGTTGGAGGTTACTATGCCAAACACAAAGGTTAAGGGTGTGTATGGACATGGCTGCTCAATGAACTCCAGAAACGATGGGAAAGCGAGTAAGACATGTCTTGCTGGGGGTCTGTAGAAGTTTGCCAGGGGGTTCTTTTGACTTCAAATGGGAGAAGATAGATAAAATGGCCTGGGCTAAAACATGGCTTATTGCACACTTGAAGCCATAAATGAGGATAATGAAGATCATTCCAGCTACCAACAGATTGTCTATCAACATAGGCACTGTTCAGAGTTGAGAGAAGTTAATAACACAACATACTCTGCAATTGGAATCAGTTAATTTAATTTGCTTCATGAGACAGAAAATCAGTGGCAGGTTTCCTCTTCCTGCCTTCCTTCCTTGAGAATTCAGTGTCAAAGGAAGCTAGTGTCAAACAGCACTGATGAATGATTATTTGTGTGCACAAAACACATAATTCAAGTTTCATTACCCTTTCCTGTCAACAAGTTTCAGTGCTGATGGGGAAAGATCATTTCTTTGTTACCTTCCGCCTCTGCTAGAATTGAACCATGTCTAGGCTCAGGATGAGAAAGTACATATAGCAAATCATTTAGACAAACTGCTTCCCTCAGTAAAGCATCAACTAATATTAACAAAACTTTTAAACATTTAATATTGCATCTGCTCTGTAATTTGGTTCACTGTAACTTTTTTTTTTTTTTAATCACAAAAAAATCCATTAATTCATCTCTTCAATATGCCGCAGTTCTGTTTCACCCTCTTTATAACTGTGATGCATTTTTCTCTTCCACTCAAAAATTTGGAGCACTTTGCCTGCCTGCTCATATTTCCACCTTACTGGGCCTAACCTCAGAACCTCGCTCTTTTCCTCTCTGGTTAACTAATTTATGTTTCATCCCCTTCCTTTTTCTAAAGGGTAGGTTGGGGTTTTTCCTTATAAGTCATCACATGTTGATTCATTTCTATTTTTGCTAATTCTATTTGTATTTCCTTTTGCATCTATATCCTCCCCTCATGTTTTGGGTCAAAAGCATTATGAATAAATTAACAGCTCTTTCCCTGTCTGCCAGGATAACTGCTTATTGAAGTCTGTTTTCTAATTCCTTAGAGTTGATGAGGGACTTATACCCTGAAGCATATAGTTTGATAACCCAGCCTGTACCCTTTCTAATGAATGTTTCCATTGTATGCTTACTTGTCAAATCTTCTTTTGAATCTGAGTAACATTTGACCTCTGAGATGACCTGCGGCAAAAAATTTCCACATTTTAATCATTTCCTATTTTATTCAAAAGAAGATCTAAAAAAAAGACTTACTTCCTGCATTTCAGATGTGCTGTGGCTTGGTTCTTCCTCTGTGTAGGGTAAATGCAAATAAGAGCTCAGCACTTCTTTGCTGCACCTTGTTCTTCTGTACTGTCTTTTATTTCCATCTGTGTCTGTCTCCTGCCTGCTCTAAACAGCTTGCATCTTTTCAATCCTTCTTCATATAAAAGCTTTTGTATGACTATTCATGACCATTGTCTGTCTCATGTCTTTGCATTTCTGCAGCTGTTTTTTGTGAGATGGTGATATATCTGGCTAAGGGTGCTCCCAGTTAGACACATCCTTAGTTTCTAAAATAGAAAATAATACTGCCTCATCTCATTCTCTAGGCGTACTTTTTTGATCATCCGTTCATAACATGAGCAATACTTTCTCCTTGATGTCTTTAAAGTGGCTGTATATCCTCTGCACTGGAGATCCAGGCTATCCAAAACTGACAGCTAATTCAATCCTAAAATAATTTTTAGAGTGTGTATAAAGCAGAAAGAACAGATTGACATGCAGCTACTAGGAAAAGTGTCCTTTGAAATATAAACAGATAAAGCCTAAACCAGACGCAATTTTCCAGAATCCATTTTCTGAGTGTCTTTTTACTTTCAAATACTATTCTTCAAGTCAGGCATTTGCCAATTTACTACATGAAATTCAGAGCCTGTTAGCCAAACTTTTATTCTAAACTATCATGCTGATTTTTCCCTTTAGTTATATGTAGGATTCTGACACATTTTATCTGATCAACAGAGAGAGGAGCTGGCCTGGAAGGTAGACCTTTTAAAAATGGAGTCTCTTAGAAAGTAGGGTATGTGTTTTTTCAGTAGATGCTAAGCAGCTGAACTATTAATTGCACCTGGAGTTTCAGGTGCTCAGCACTTGGTCCTTACTCTCCAGCAGCTTGCAAATTACAGATCTGCTTTCAATTAGGTCCTTTATACCCTGTCACTGGCAAGATTCACATTCTCCACTCCAGGATAAGTCACATTTCATGCACTCATGATATCGCCTCTCTTTGCTTCCTTACTTCACCAGCTTTGAGATCTTCACAAAGACAAGAGGAAAAAAATCTAGAATTACCTAGCAGTACTCTCCTAAACCGTAGACTAGGCTAGGGCTCGTTAAGTGAGAGGAAGGGGCCCCAAGGTTAGCCCTTACAAAGCCGGTGTTGTAGCCCCCTTCCTTTCTTTTGTAGTGTGTAGCAGTCTTATCAAGGGACATGTTCCTAGGGGGACATTGGGAAGAGCTTCGGAAAAGGAAAAGAAGAATTACAGGCCATGGGGAGATGGAAAAAAAGGTTAGTTATTTTTGGTTCTCAGTTATTGAATTATCTTGAGAAGGGTAACTACATTTAGAAAGAGAGAAGTTTTACATAGGTATAAAGTCACAAGGAAACATAGCAGAGTATATTGCGTAACAAGTTCGTTGAGCGAAGTTGTGTAGCTAGGAGGTGTTGCTTCCACTTTAGTGAAGTGTCTCCTTAATTTGAAGAAGAAAGTTGTATGTTAAATCTGGCAGAAGGCATGTTGAATTTCCCTGTTATCTTTCCCTACCTTTATGTGAGAAATAATTTGAAATGTTAGTGCCAAGAGTTTAAGGGTGAGTTGGTAGAATCAGACTCAGATTGTGAAAGACATTCCTCTTGTTTAGGTATGAAGAAGAGGAAGGTATCTCAAAAGCAAGCAGTGCTTCTGGATTTTATTGTAACCCTTCTGATAAGATTTAAAAAAAAAAAAAAAAAAAAAAATTAGAATTCTAAAGCCTCTTACAGGGTTCCTAACAAGAATGACTCTCTTATCCCTAAGTACATCTGCAAAACTAGTCCTTGATGTCCAGTACACAATTTTTGTAAAGCTTGCACTTAAATAAGAGAAGGTTTTCTCAATAATCTGACCTTGTATGTCTCTGATTAGGTCTGAAATAAGTGCACCCATTAAAGACCAGGACTGTACTGCAAGTGTTCTCCACCTGAGGCAAACCTCCTGTGAAAGTGCCTTTGCATACGACTTTTCTGAGTAAGAGATGGAAAACATTCAGGTGAGTCCTCATCAGAACTGGAAGGGTTGTGTGTCTGAGGAAAGGCCCCCTTTGTTGCAATACTTCTTCCCCTCTCTCAGGCATTTTCCACTGGCTAGGAGCTTAGTGGGTTTTCGGCTAGGCTACCTGATTTCCTGTGTTTGAAGGCAAATCTGAGGATAGTTACTGCACAACAACTCTATGGGAAGATTAATTGTGTTAGGCAGACGAGACTGTGGGAATCTAATGTGTTGGACCTTGGATGAGAGAGTTAGAGGTGAGAAGCAGCTCAGCTGGCTGCCAGGTTCACAAGCAGTGGACTTCAGCCTGGCCTTTCTAGCCCTACTGCTCTGTCAAGCACCTTAAACTAACCCCCAGTCTGTCAGTACAGTGAGGAAGATGTTTTCATGCTCCTTTGAGACATGTGGGAATAATTAGTTGATCTTTTCTATTAAAAGTTAATAGTCCACAGTATATTATGTACTTAGTAGACAAATAAAACACAGTGGATTTCTGTTATCTAACTCTACCATGGATTCTTGTTGCTATGTGTGGGAAGCTCCTTCAGGAAGAATTCAGTAAGGTAAAAAAGCCTTTATCTGCTTCATAATCCTGTCATATGAATATAGAATTGCCTGGGCTACGATTTCAGAATAATTAACAATGAAACACCACTGATGAGGGAGCTATCAAATGGGATATCTCTGCATCAGTATTGGGTTCGGCATTAATTAATGAAAACATTAATTAAGGTTTCTATTAAACAATCTGGAAGACAAAATGAAGCATGCATTGATCAAGTTTGTAGAGGCCAGGCTGTAGCTACAGAACGAGTGATCAAGAGATTTTTAGAGTAAGAGGCAAATTTTAAATAGGGTGAGATTCTAATTTAGATAAACGTTAAACAATGCACTAGAGGGTGACACTTTACAAAATAGAAGGCTGCTGATTAGAGATCAGTAATGCAGAGAAGAACTTGGGAGAGTGGGTAACAAATGGGGCACAAATCCCAATACCATGGAGCTTTAAAAAGACAAATAGCTTTCCTGGCTGTGCAGAAAGTAAAAGGGAGGTCATTTGTAGGACAGTGGCCATAAGGATATCTATTCTGTGTTTCTAGCGTGGCAATGCAAGTGTGAAGCTTCAACCTGTTATCCATGTGAAATAAACTCTTTAATTGTGACCTCAAGGTTGGATGGTAAAGGAATAAAGTCCCTGAAAGTGATGCAGAGCTGATAAATACGTGTATGCTGCCTCCGAGAGGCACATGAGCACACTGTGCTCCACCGACAGCCCACCTCTCAGCCACGTGGAACCTAATCAGGCACCCTGCCTGTGATCCATTGGTGCTAACTTCTGATGCATTCCTGTACGTGGCAAAATGCGATGGGAGGGAGCTGCTTTGGTCATGGAAAATGTAGCAGGACATAAGTGTAGAAGCCTCAGCCTCTGTCTACCATCTTCTCAACCTATTCTTATCAGCTACGAAATTGAATTGGCAGAGTCTTTTGACTGGTGGGGAAGGCTGGTAAACACAGCTAGTGTAACCAAGGAAAGAAGTTTTGAGAAATGGGTGCTGCTTTTGAGCCTTTTTTTAGAGCTGTTGTCTTTCTTTTCTAAGAATGACATCATCTAGACTGAGGCCCTGGCAAAGCAGGTACTGTTGCAGGCAGTTGCTTCTCATGACTTGGTACTCTTGGCAAATGAGATGACCCTAGGAAGAAAAGGGGGAAGCAAACTGCTTCATGCATGTGTGGGAGAGGTAGAAAAATATCTCAAAATACTTCAATGTCTAGGAGGAGTTATAGACCAGTTATCTGGTCAAACAGTTCCAAGTAAGCTATTTGCAAGGAAACTTGTAGTGTATATATATTTACTTGTGTATCTGTGTGAATGCCTCTACACATGAGTATTATATTATGCTTGAGAAGCATTATGAAAACTCAGGTAAATTCTTTCTTGCAATTAAATCATCTTTGTGGCTCTTTGCTGGACTTGCTCCAGTATACCCATGTCTTCCTTGTATTGGGGAGCCTGTAATGGGAAACAGAGCTAAAAATATCCTATTTCCCTAAAATCTTAGAAAAATCTAAATTAGTGATGCACATTGAAGATGGAGTTTGCATCGTTCAAAATAAAAAAAGGAATTGGATCAAGTTTTAACTAGAATTGAACTGGTCTATCCTGCTCACAAGAACAGGAAATTAAATTAGTTGAAAATCTTATACTAACAGCTATGCTGGAATTACAGTTATTTATCAAAGCAACAAGGTGGGGGAAGATGGGGAAAGAAGCAAATTCTTACCGTGACAGTACACAAACCCAAAATGCAGTACTTTCTTTATGCATACAGGATATGCTTAAAGGATCCAAAAGGCATGGCTTCATTGGGATAAAGAAGTCTTGGCCCAAGGAACTCTGAAATGAAAGGTTTTGGAAGATGAAGGTCCCTGGCTGAGACACCAGGATGATAGGAGAAGACAATAAAACAGCTCATGATGAGCAAGAGTTCCATCTTGCTACCTGCCCAGCTACTAGCTGCTTGCACGGAGTAGTAGGACAAAGTCTATATTTGTTGATCAGCTCTTTATTACACGTGTTTTTAGGGTGGGGGCATTGTGCATATGCATCTATATAGCTATACACATATACCTATATATACCTCTATATTTTTTTCACTTAATGAAAAGAGAATTATTTACTACTTTTACAACAGGATCTGGATGATGTTTGTGGATTTTGGCTGCTAGTGATATATTTTATTACTATCATTAAAGATTTTTATAATACAGGGCAGGGGTTGTCTAAGTGCTGTGTGGGAGCTGCTAAATCCACCTTGACTGATACCACATGCATTAGGTGAACAAATAGGTTAATGCTATTCTTGTTGATACTGGATAGTTGCCACGCCAGAGCTGAGGGGTTTAGTCTCTGTTTGCTGTTTTCTGAACACATAATGGATCATTATTTTAGTATATATTGGGTTCTTTCCTAGGTAAAGCAAAAGTGTTTAAATTCCTTTATTTTTCTTTTAAATGTATCGTGGCATGAGAAGCCAGGGGATTTCTTTCATAGAAACACGGGGCACAACAAGAAGAAACTGTTCTTTCAGGTGTCAGAATGTCTGTTTGGAAATTTCTGTCACATTATTTTGAATCAGAGAAAAGAGAATTTTTCGCTAAAACTCTTAAACTAAAACATTCTGACAGCTGATGTGGTATGTTGAAAGCTTGTCTTTGCTTTCCTTGGCTTGTTACTGACTTTCTTAAAGGGGGGCAGAGGGGTGGAGAACCTTAGTGATATCTACCACTGACTTTTGTTTGTGCAAGTTTTCTAATTAAGGAAGCCAGTTTAATACTTCACTATTTCACCTCTGTTTCAGTAAGGAATTTAAGGGGCTATTAAAGAAAATGTAGAATTCTGATACTGGCCAAGTTACGTAGCAACCAGGCAATGTCCTCCTACCCTTTCGAGGCTCCAGCCATCTCGATTACCAGAGATGTCTCCCTTTGTGCTCAGCACGTACCCGTATGCCCCGTATGAGAGATGGGTGCGCGCGGGGCTGCTGAAGCACCGATGTTAGGCCGGCCTGCAACAAGCCTACTGACACCTGGTCCATTCCTCTGGAAGAGCTTGCTCATGCGCTTCAGAACTTTGCCAAGAAGCATCTTCAGCCTCGTATGGTTTATGCCATACATCGAAAACCATAATACTGTGATCTTAGATGAAAGTCAGAGGTTATAGAAAACAACTATGTCCTAGTATTTGTCCATTTTAAAGGAGCCATTATAGCAGAGTGGAGCTCAGTGCTCTTACCTGCTTGAATCTTCTATGTCTGTGGCTTTTGTCTTCAGTTTTACTATCTTTGTCGTTCTGCTTATGGTGATCCTGGCTTTGCAGAGTGTTTGCAATTAAAATTCTCATGCTATGATGTGTCATTGATCTTCATAACATTCCCCTGCCTTCACAGCAACAAGTGTACTTGGCAATTTCCAGTGCTGACAACTCGCTTTCTTTCTCTGCTGTTCAGGTGGTCAGAGCCACACAAGTGCCAACAAATTTGATAAAGCACAGAGGCAGTGTTTCTGACTCAGCAGGGCTTCGTACCAAAGTGAGGGCAGGAGAGGTATTGTGCCAAGTGCCCAAAATTGGCTGGCATCACTGGATGGAAAGTGAAGTGAAACTGGAAGATCACCTTGTAAGCAGGCCTGGTGCCATCCAAACAGATGGGCTGAAGTATAAGCAGCCAAACGGTCATTTAGGAACACAAAATGGATTTGTTGAAGTCAGGTTTCCAGGCATGAAATGTCAGAATGGTTGCCTATGTCAAGCCTCCAGACCTGAAGGGAAGGATATGTGCGAGTAGTGTGGGATAAGCTAATGCTGAAAACAGACATGAAAATCTGTCTTGGATCCTTTCCTGGATCCATCGAAAGATTTTTTTTTTCATAGCTGTGAGTCCTAGAAGGGATGAGTGGGAGAAGAGTCCTGCAAAGCAGTATTATTTCCCTACCACATGGATCACTTTCCATAAACTGCTGACAAGGTAAAGAAATTTTCTTCTGCCTCCCACAGATGTTGATGTGCAGGAGGCCCGTAACATTGCTCTGGCTGGTTAGTCTTTGGCAGCTGTATATAGCTCCAGGATAAATTCTGTAGTATTACCCAAGCTCTAAATAATTGATTATAGAAATACACCTCAGTAAAGACCTACAAGACTTTGAGTTACTCTCCAATGGCTGTGGAGTTGCAGCGAGGACTGAATTGCCTCGCTATAATAAGAACCCAGCTCCTCTCTGGGACATTTCTGCTTAAAAGATCAACAACAACAAAGGGGAAGAAAAAAACGAACCCAAACTTACATAAATTTAAAACTCAAGAAATTAAGATGATAAATGATGGAAATGTGCTTTGCTGCTTTTCCATCCATTACAAAAGCCAGGCAAACACTTAGTACCTGTCTGCTGATCAAAGGTGCAAAGTAGAGAAGGGCTCACAGAAAATGTTATGACTTGAAAGGAAATTAGTTTTCAGGTAAGATTCAAGGCAAAGGCTCCAATTGCAAGCTAAGCTTTATCTGAGCTTACATTGTTATGCCCTGTAACTGGTGCCTTGCAGTTCCAGTGTAGAAAGTCGAGAATAAAAGCAAGCATTAGTCTGGCTGAAATCCACGTAACAGGATTGTGTGCGAAACAAAAGTGAAATCAGACTGCAGTCAGTGAAATACAGCTTGAGGAGGAAGGCGGAATGTGCTAGAAACAGCAATTTTCTAACCTCTTTACTGCAGCTGAACCAGCTTAAAGAGGCATTAGGATTTATTCTTTCTAGTGAGAGGGGTAGGAAAAATCAGAACCTAGTTACTGTTGTTTGATTTTTGCAGCAGAATATTCTTACCAGAAGCAGGGCTGTTAGAGAATGCTGTCAGGAAAATTATTTGCATTTGGTAGAACTGCCCCTCAGTTCTTCCGGCGCACACTGCCCTTGTGGCACTTTAACACTGGTCATTTGTTGTAGGCTCTGCATTTGATGTTTTGATTTTTACCAGTTGTTCTGCAGAAAAGGATTGTGCAACAGTGGAGGACTACTGATCTTTGGGAAGAGGCAGACAACATGCATTCAGATCTCAAACTCCAGATGGGGAAGGCTCTTTAATTGTGTAGTAAAGAAATTGCTTAAATTATGGATAATCTACTGCATAAGTCTGTTTTCTCCTATTTCGTAAAGCTTCCTATCCATGCAATTTGGAAACTTGTATCAGCAGTGAAAGACAAGAGGATTCAAGAAAAGGTAAAAGCAAACTTAAAAAACCAAAAACCTTCAACTGTAACCTTGTGGGTGACTTACCTGTATCTTAAATAGAGAGGATCAGAAGTTTGGCTGGACTGTTTTCTAAATGTCAGTATCTGGGAGTAATGACTATGTTTAAGTTTGAGAGCTCTGTGACTTTGAGAAAGCTTGCCCTGAGAACAAATAATTTTTGATTCTGAAGAAATTACTGGACACTTAAAGCAATTGGGGTCTGAGACCATTAAGCTTTAAGTAGTCATTATCTATCTGAGGATCACAAAAATCTGTATTTCATTGCTGTTGTGAGCTGTTTTCAGTGTAATTCCAGTTCATCTTGAATCACTCATTTCCATCCTAGCTGGCTGAAGAATTGTTAAACTTCATTTTACTTTTGATAGTCTTGAATCTGCTTGTTGCACTCAGAGGGGTGTACTTGAGAAAACGAATTCCTAAATATGTATATAAAATAAACCAGACTTCTCCTCTCAACTCTTCTATTAGCCATAAACATTATGCTCTGCTGTTCTCTGTGCTGTAAGGGTTTTGTCTCCTAAGAGATGTTAATCTGAGATCAGGTGTAGGGATTGGTCAGCTTTGGGCTTTTTGTCGTGTAAATCTGTGTTAAATAAAGGGCTGAATTCTTGGCAGTAGGGCTTGTAACTTAGTTTCTTAAATGTTTTGGTAGATCATAATTTGTTGATTTAAATGCAACATGAATATCCTTAGGATAACTGAATAGTTAAGTTGTTGCTGTTTTACAAGTAAATGGAAGCTATTTAGCATGGGGGGCAGAAGGTGTGAGCCTGCAACAGGACCATCTCTGAGCTACTGTTCTTTTTCATCCAATATGTGCTCAATATCAAGCTATGTGATGAGCATAGAGAAGCAGCCTATAACAAGAGCTGAAATTCTTCTGAATTCCTTTGAAATAGTTAAACTTCTTTGCTCTTTGTACACTAAATGATGTTGAATTGCATACTTCTCTAAATGAGAGGTCAGGAGGCAAAGAAAGGCACATTCCTTTGACGTGATATATTTTGGAAAAAAAAAAAAAAAAGTACCAGGGCTGTAACTGGTGGGGGGTGGGAGGGAAATCTGCTTTTCCTGTTTTGGTACAGCGATGTTCATTATTTTCTTTCTTACTCCTAATGTTTTTACAGTGGTTAATAGCTTAAACACTACATGCTTAAAGAAACATCGTATTCATTCTCCTTGCGTTAGTCTGATGTTGGCAGGGCCAATATTCACCAAACACTAACATTTGCTTCTTTGACTCTACAAACACTTGTAGGGGTGGGAAGTGCAGTTGAGCTCAGCAGGTTGCCCTGCATGGTGTTGAGAATAAGCTTTTTTTTTTCCTCTGAGGATCACATTCTTTTATCTAGCAGGGTACGTCTTTAGGATTGCTTGCTTAATACTGGCTCAATGCCTTTTATTAAATATTATCGGTAGATGACCAACTTTTTCTTTGAGGGTTTTTTGTTGTTCTTTTCTCAATATTCACCTATTACTGATCTGGACAGGTATTAAATTAAAGCTCGGGAGGGCTGATGGATCCATGCTAACAGTGCTATTGTCATGTTCTGCTCAGAGAGTTTTTGTCTGATGCTTGTAGTGCTGCAGAGGCAAAAATCACAAGCAGAGGATGTAAGCAGGGCTAGCTGGCTAATAACTTTGAGTTGGTCAAGGTTTGTCCCGACAGCTGACCTTCAGGGGATGCATAGATCAGTTATAACTTGAACATTAATTGGTGAGATTGACTGGTTCAGAGAGCAACTTGTAACTTGATGCCAAATGAAATCATTCTGTATGTGTAAGGATGTGAATATCTTCAGTGCAATATACTTCTGGCACTGTTGCTCCAAACTGCTGAAAGAAATCCATTTAATCAAAACAAGCATTGATGTGGTTATTAGCATGTTAGTCCCAAGACACAAAGCTTTATCAATATAAAATGAACGGAATGTGATGCTACTATTCATTCTATTTACATTGCCTGATATTATGCAGTGAATGTAATGAGGCTTGTTCAAGAACTGCTGTTCACTGTGATGTTCCAGAAAAGATATGCATCCTAGGAGACTTGTTCAATGATCAAACATTTTAAATGAAATACAACATTAAAATAAGTGTAATCTTTTCAGAGTGAGGTTGGCTTTTCATGCTCACTTCAGTGAGCTGCTTTTTACTCTGGAAACAAGACAACTTAAAATCCTGTTTACTAGTTGCTTAGAAACTTTACAGAAACTGATCATCAGTAAGAGCGTTAGACCTCAAATATTTCAGTAAAAACTAAAGCTGTGAATGCATGTTGTTCAGAAATGACAGATTCTGGAAATTACCACATAATCTTATCAAGTCCAAGAGATAAACTGGTTATAAGAAGGACATATGTATAGGTAAGAACATCCAGACTTATACTAAGAAGGATAAACTTGTGTGCTTCAGGTATATAGTATGATTTAAGAAGACTATTTCCATACTAGCAGCATATTAAATAATTGTTTCCTTTCTTGGATCACCTTCTGGAATCATTCCTTACTGATTACTGAACATACCAGGCCAAGGAGTATGGACATCATGGAATATTGGTATGAGCCAGTAATGGAATTATTTATGATCTTTGAGTTAAAAGCAGGAGAGAAAATATTAATCTTGAATGTTTTAGAGCACAAAAATCTGAAAGTTTCTTGACAAGCTTTACAGAAATGGTATGAAAATGTGTTTTATGGCTATATGGTACAGTTTCTTTGAGAGTAAGGGACATTTTAACAGCATAGTTCAGTTTAGGAGGTAATTCTGGTTTTTATCTCGACCTGTATAGCTATTTCTTATGGGAATATGTATTTTTAAAGGAGTAATTCTTATCTAAGTCTATACACTGAATTTTTCCATAAAAATTATTATGATTAAGTTCTTAGAAGCTATGAGGTATTTAATATTAATTCAGCCTGAGTAAAGAAATGAATGAAACAATGTCTTAGGATGTGGAACTGTCATTGACAGATGAAGTAGAATTTGTTTATTATACGTTAAAAAATGACTGCCAAATAAAAATGATAATGAGGGAAGACACCAGAGAGGAGGTGAAAATATAATCTAAGTTTTGATATGGTTACTGCTTCTTTTGGGGGCCTGGAAAATTCAAAGGCCTGTGAATTTGAGCCTTGCAAGTGACTGCAAGCAATCCTGAAACAGCAGCTGAGTAGCCCTGGAAATTAGTTTTCCTCAGTGACTATGCGATGGGCTTGTGGTTTTAATGACATAGCTGACTAATTGCAGTCAACCCCATTTCTGAGTACAGAAATCAGAAAACTTTGCTCCTGCTGATAAAGCTATAGTTAAGCTATAAGCATGCCAGTTATTTTCTTGTCAAACATAAAAGCCATATTATTTCAAGGTGTTTGAGGCCTCTCTGCTTAGATAAAATACAGCAGAAAGCATGTACGTGGCTTGTTTAATGTGTACGCACTGGGAGGGTTATCTCCTTTCCTTGAAGTAATTTTTCAATTTATTTGGCAAAGCAAGAAATAAATTTTGCCCTTGTTGCTAGTTTGAATGTATCTGAATTAGCATTTGAGGAAATGATTTTTCAAGAGTATTGTAAGGTTACCTCTTTCCAAAACCTGGCCATAAAGCTTAGATTTCCTGTTGAACATGCCAGTTGGACCCAGATAAATCTTTATCCTGAAAGAAACCACAGGATGCTTTTTTCCTTTACAATTGGCTTCCAAAGAACATCTGACCAACTTTAATGAAAAATGGAGGAACCATTGTTTTGTGCTGAGAAACCACCAACTTTCCTTCTGAATGCCAGCAGTAAAAAGTAATTTCTTACAGCCTCTCCAGCCAGTACTACTTTAGAATCATTTCTGAGCTACGCACCAGCCACAAGATGAATGCTAAAATAACTTTTCTAGCTAACAGTTCATGCATCAGAGTGATACCATCAATGAGCTTCTATACGTGAGTATTAACAGACGGGGTCTGATCCTTTAGGGAAACCACCAAATGAGCTCTGGAATCCCAAAATTGAGGCAGCACAGAATGATTTGTATGTTGTGTTTGGCACTGAGAGTATGTGTGGCTTTAGCAATTAACACAGCTGCTTTGGCAAAACCCTTTTTAGCCTCTTCTCTGAAGGAAGTGAGCTGTATCTGTCACTCTTCCCCCAGTAACTGGAACTCATGGATAGAAGAGTCTCAAAGATGTGAAAAATCCACACACTTAATGAAAACAAGGCTGATAAGAGGGGAGGCATCCTATTAAAACTGCCTTTAAGAGCAGCATTTCATTAGAGATCATGCAGGGGAGAACAATCATGAGTACTTCGTACATTGGAAAAGCTCCAGTTAGCGTTGGCACCTCTCGGGTACTAGAGGAACCCCCCAAACCCTACCCTGGAGAACATATCTGAGAAAATACTTGACTTGGATATCTGGTAGTGGTTGATTCCCTGCTGTAGTTTAGTCAGCTAACAGGTCAGTCAACCAGAGGACATCAGACTGCTGGAGACCAGGCAAGATATTCCCCCAACAGCCACGGGAGAGCTATTCCCTGCCATGAAAATGTATTTGTCTTTCCTGAGCTGACAGTTCAATCACTGTTTTCTAAATTAACTTGACTGGAGTTGGATAATAGCACCTATTCTGAGTTGCATCAAGCTGTCTTTCCTTCAAATCACTGTCCGACCTGTGACTGGGCAGGATTTGTAAGTTGCTCTAAGGTCTGAGTAGGAACAGAGTACAGTTCCTCTTGTGAGGATGTTCTTGTAATAGAGTTTATCAGACATTTGCTCATGTAGTGCCTTGTTCTTTTGCCTTACCTTTTCATTTTCCTCAAAAATGGCAACTCTGCCCAGTTTAAGAGTTGAAGTCTTATCTCAAAGTAACTGTTTGAGGAAGACAGTGCTTACAAAGAATCAGTCATTAATCAAGGAGAAAAAAAATCTTGCACACTGCATGCAAATGGAAAGTAAGGTACACCCTTCAAACAGTATT